TCCCATAATCACTCTAAATTTTCAGCGCGGCATGAGAGCAATACAACCAGTGACGTCACTAGGCTGTTTTGGCCGCGCCAAGATGGCCGCCAATTTTGGCCTTAACCAGCCAATTTCGAACGGCTGAAAAAGCAGTTTTCGCTTACCGTATGCGAAAAAAAAGTCTGCAGTGTTTCCAACTAAGGTTGAAACTTTATTACTAAGCAAAAATCTCACATACGAAAATTTCGTTTCAGTGGCACTTTAAGTTTAATTCTTATCAGTACCCTGGGATTCACTGTAATTGGCTACACTGTAGTGGTCTCCCTGCCTAATGAATGTTTAATGTATATAAGTTAGTATTTTAGTTAGGAGAAGTTAAATAAATAATAATAAAAAAGATCGTTCAAGTTGTTCCTGTTCTTATCATGAAGTTATGGATTCTTTCAAATGATTGAGACAACGTCGTCCTGCCATTTCAGGCTTCCGGCTCATTGTGAAATATTAAAATAACCCGAAGTTTACAACTTTTGGAACTAAGTATGTTTGTCTTTATCACAGCGCAACCAACCGCATGGATCGGATGTGGTTAGAATAACAGAGTACAATACAAACCCACAAAAAAAAAAAAACTGTTTTTTTTGCGCCTGAAGGAAGTGAAAAGATTTCAGAAGTTTCAGGACTTCTGACTCGTCGATACAGTGAACACCTGTTAATCTACATAGTACTGAAAGCAAACAAAAAACATTTCGTCGTTTATTTTTATTTAATAGATACTTATCAGAAAACTTCGGGTAGGTTAAAACAAAGATGGGTTATTTGTAGCTAAGCATAACGAAATTTGCGTGACGTCATTTACGAAGCTGGACTTTGGTTTCTTGATTGATACTGACGTCATGATCAATAGGACAAAGAGAATTACGAAGGGCTGCGTGATTTCAAATCACCAAACGTTACGCTCCATGCACTTATGGGGAGACCGGTTAAACAAGACAAATATCACTGGCCATTGAAAGAAATAGACATTAGTAAAAAGAAACTGAAATAGTATGACTGTCTTCTATGTAAAGGTGAATACCATCTTTAATTTGGAGACATCAGGTTTGAACAATTTAAAGATTGTACTTACAATATTTATTTATTTATCCGGGTTGCACCTTGCTACTTCGCAGAAAACGTGTTTATCTTTGATTATGCTTTGAGCTTTTTCTCGAGTGATAGTTACACTCTTCCAGATCTTGCTGTTTCCTGAGCGTCACTTTTAAAAACTTTCAATTCAGCCATACTTTCCGGTGAGTTCATCTACCTCGAGTGTGCCTTGTGAACAAGGAACACGCTTTCGCCCACGCATTGAAAGTACGGCAAAGTCAAAAGTCAGAGATCACGACGTCCTTTTTATTCAGCAAAATAAAAAGTTAGCTCGATTCAACCTTTTAACAGAAACTATTAGTTCAGCATGTTTTGGGCAACGCCATAAAACTTGTATTCTGCGTTGTTTTTTTGGGTGGCACCTCCTTCGACTTGGCCGCTAATTTACATGAATTTATATCGAATCTGACTAAGAAAGGATGATACTTAAGAAATTAAATTCAACAGTCGTAATGATGCCAACAGAAGCATAATACACATTTTCTCGATTGGCTTTCTAATTTTGTAATTCGTATAATATACTACAAGGTTAAAGCTGCGTCTGGGCACGTTCCATAATTAAATATTAAAATTTACAAGTGCTTTTAAGAAATGTTCATCAATAAACTGTGTCAGCTAATGCAATATCAATTCGTACTCACGCATATCATGTCCGATCACGTTTTCTCTTTGTTGTTTTGTGAAATTAGTTTATAGGCCGGCACTGAGAAAATAGCAATCACACGGTTTAGAAGTTATTTTGGGACTACAGTATCTGAGACGAAATGGGATCAGTACTGAAACTGAAAGTGGATTAAAGAACAAGTGAACTGCCTCAGTTCCACATCTTATGAACCATGATTCAACCACACTGCACTGAAATTTCTATGATTCGCTTGGTAGTTTCAACTAGCAGCAGGATACGATTATACCTGTCAAATTTGCGCCCGAGCCAGGCGAGCACGGCAGACCTGCAAACCTTCCTTATTGATGTTAATTTTGAGTTCTTCTTTTCAAGCTTACAACTGCCCTAAAGAAGCTCGACTTCTCTCATGAAGCATGGCCAACCTTAATGTATGAGAAGTCAAGGAAATTAGGACTCGCGTTCGACCTAGCCTTAATTAAGACCTTTCAATAACACCGCTTGGTATAGATCTACTAGGGTTCTACCGCGAACTCCGTTCTCTGATTGGCTACGTTGCTCGCTATCTATTCTGTTGTAGATATTGAGTAGCCCAGTGTGCGGTTGTCAACAAACTGGCGGCCGCTGTATTGCATTTTCGAAGTGCCTGTGAAGAGTATTGAGATAAAGCTTTGAACGACTAGTAGATTTATACCAAAACAATTAGATTACGGCGATTTCTATCGCGTGATCATGAGTTAACTCGGGTTGCACCCTAGTCAACGATCGATCACGCGATAGAAATCTCGCGCTCACGATAATCTAGTTTAGCTGAGTGCGCTGTTTTCTTGGTGAAACTCAGTGTTTCTTTCTTGTCTCTAGCTCGTGGTCGAATCGCATTAAGAGAACATATGACGTTAGATGTTCTCAGTTAGAGAGGATCTTTGTCCTTTTCGTCATCACTTACTCCCACCAAGACATGGTTATGACCGTTGTTTTTGATTGCGCAAAATTCCGCATGGTATGGTGTCGTTGATTTATTTCTTTGCTTTATTATAAGTGCCTTGAAAGAAGGAGCTTAACTGTTACATTTGTTTTCTCTTACCACTGCAAAACCAACTTTGAAACAATTTAAACATCAATTGCTAATAAACCCAAGTAGAAAATTGCGTCAGTCCATAAACAAAGTATTGTATTCGTTCCTATTAACTGCCGCACACCGTACATCTGACGTGTATGTTTGTCTTCTGGTGTCTTATCTTCCATGGGGTTTAAGTGGAGCGAGTCTAAAAGTTGTGTATTGAGTCTGGAAACAGGGCTTCCCTGTAATGATGCAACTGAATGATTAGGAGGCTCGACGGAGAACTTTCGTGTTAACTTATGTCAGTTTGGCAAAGCTGGAATACAAACAATAATACTGAATAAACCCTAGTGTATTTGATAGGCATGAGTGGGAGGAAAACCCTCAATGTTGTGAGCATTTTTTTTTTCTTATCGTCCAGTTTTTTTAATTACCCTATCGTCACGTCCCGCATTGGAGAAGAACATTGCCGAACTGTCACTTTCTTGTTCCAACTTTTTACATTATCGGGTATGAAAATACCGAAAAATGTCGCGTAATTTTAATACTAATTCAGACTGATTCGAAAAGAATTTTAAGATTGCAGACCACAAAACACTGAGTCAATATTGCACTGTTTGTACTTTGATTCAAGCTTGGAGAAATGTTGGGTTTTGAATTTCTGGGGGAAAAATTAAGGAACCAACGAAGAAATTTTGAACTGTCGGGTTACATTTCTAAGATGACTGCAAATCCTTTCGAATCGGTTCTGAAAACACAGAATATCTTTGCGATTAAGTAGAGGCCGGATGCCATTAGTATTAGCTGGAGAAATAATACTTTCAAGTACCTTGTTTATTGCAGCAAACTTTAATGACGGAACACAAGAAATGAATACTGTCCTCGATTTTGACGGCTCTTCTATAAACAGGGGAATACCACCCTTAATTTGGAGACACAATGCAGGTTTTAACAATTCATAGATCATACTTACAGTATTTTGTGAATTATGTGTATGGGTTGCACCTGAAATTAGGGAATCGATGATTCACCTTGTTTATCTTTGATTATGCTTTGAGCTTTTTCTCAAGTGATAGTTACACTTTTCCAGATCTTGCTGTTTCCTGAACGTCACTTTTAAACAACGTTTAGCCGCATACTTTCACTGAGTTCGTCTAACTCGAGTGTGCTTTGCGAACAAGGAACACGCTCTCGCCCACGCATTGAAAGTACGGCAAAGTCAAAAGTCAGAGATAACGACGACGGCCTTTCTATTTAGCTAAATAACAAGTTAGCTCGATTCAACCTTTTAACAGCAACTATTAGTTCAGCATGTTTTGTGCAACAACATAAAATGCATTCTGCGTTGTTTATTTGGGTGGCACCTCCTTCGACTTGGCTAATTTACATAAATTTATATCAACACTGACTAAGAAAGATTGATGCAAATCCTTAAGAGATTGAGGTAATAATGCCAATAGAACTATAATACATGCATTCTTATTCGTATAATATACGATAAGATTAAAGCTGCATCTAGGCAGACTTTGTTTATTTCTAACATTTACAATTGCTTTTATGTTTATAAACTGTGTCAGCTAAGGCAATATCAACTTGTACTCACGCACGTCAAGCCCGCCGGATCACGTTTTCTCTTTGTTGTTTGTGGAATTGGCTTATGTAGGCCGCCACTCAGAAAAGACCAATCATCCGGTTTCGTAGTTATTCGGGAACTACAGTATCTGGATCGAAATGAGATCATTACTGAAACTGAAAGTGGATTAAAGAACTATTGAATGTCCCAACGCAAATTACAAATGTCGCAGTTCCACATTTTATGAACCATGCTTCAGTCAGATCTCGTCCACACTATGCCGGAGGAATTTGAAAACGGAACTTCATTTCCCAGCTTAGGTCTTCCGTCAACACTAATCGGTCACGTAAACGGAGTTTTTCGAAAACGCTCTTTAAGCCAGAGGAATTTGAAAACGCTGGCTTTGCGTTTAATTTTAATGTGGATAGAAAACATTTGGAAACAAAGCTTTTCATAAACTATGACCTTACGATAATCATAATATTCCCCTACCCGTGTTTTACTCAAACACAAGCGATTGTTGCGTTTTCAAATTCCTCCGGTGTAGTGTGGGCGGAACTGAACATTTGATGCGTTTTCACAGTGAAACCTCCGTTTTCAAATCCCTTTGGCGTAGTGTGTAAGGGGCCTCAGACTGCGCTAAAAGTTCTATGATGGTTTGCTTGGTCATTTTCAATAAGCAGCAGGATACGATCAAACCTGCTAGGTTTGCGCCAAGCCAGGCGAACACAGCTGTGCAAACCTAAGGTTTTTAGGAGATTTACTTTATTCTAAGTCGATTCCTTATTGATATGAATTCTGCCTAATGTTTTTGAAGCTTACAACTGCCACATAGAGAAGCGTGACATCTCTTGTGAAGTAAGGCCATTCTTTAAGTATGAGAAGATTCGGTTCACTTAGCAGACCGTTTAATAACACCGCATAGTTTAGCTGAGCACGCTGTTTTCTTGGCGAAACTGTTTCTTTTCTTGCCTCTCGTGATGGAATCACGTAAAGGAGACATGATATGACGTTAGATGTTCTCAGTTAGAGCGGATCTTTGTCCTTTTCGTCATCACCTTTACTCCCACCAAGACATGGTTAGCATTTGTTTTCGATTGCGCAAAATTCCGTCAATGAAATACGCATGGTATGGTGTCGTTGATTTATTTCTTTGTTTTTAGCGAACAACAATGAGCTAATAGAATGAACTCTTGAAATAACAAAAAGCCTCCACTTGTGCATTTCCTACTTGCAAAAGACTTATAGGCCTAAGTTACTCTCGACTCAAAGCCAATTCGACATTTGAGGTGCTAAGAGAAGAGCCTAAATTGCGCAGTATCAGTCCGGCGGGTGTACCCAACTTCCCGATACCATGTCTTCGGCATTAATCACGCTGTATTGTACAATCTTTGTTTACTTGGGTGAGTAGCTTACATTGTTGCTGGTTTTTTTTCTGCAAAGTCGACTTACATTGTAACCACTAAAGTTAAGTTTCCCTATCTTTCCCTATCAACTCTTTGTGGTCGCATAGATTTAGCTAGGTAAAAAAAAAATAGTTTTCTTATGCTTCACAGAAGAATGATTACACTATAAAGAGCTAGTTAAAAGTCTTAAAAGGTTAATATCATTAACACGGCAAACGTTTACCTGCTCAGAAAAAGGTTAACGGAACAAAAAACGGATGTACCATGAAATATTTGTCGAAGCATCGAAACTTTATTTTTTCTGCAAGGGTGTGCCAGTTCTCCAAATCAAATTATGTACGACGTAAAATCGAGGCATCCAAGCATAATTGATCATTTAGCCTTGACGAGTTTAATTTCTACATGCCAGTCATAAATGCTCATTCGTTTGAAAGCTCACGCTATAAATGTTCATTAGTTTGCGGAAAGCTCACGCTTGTGAGAATTTGCCTGAGTGATACCATTGGTGATCGATTACTCCTTAACTACTCAGATGGTGAACAAAAATAAAGCTGCAAAGATTCTTAACAATTCAGCTTTTATGCTTATGCATTATACACAAAGCTTAAACTCAAAAATTTCACCGCTTAGGGCAATATCACGCATGCAATACAACTTGAAACGTGAAATGTGGATTGAATTTGAATGAATGCAAAAGTTTGCCTTTCCGTGTTCGTATATCTTTACAGACGCCTTACGATTAGGGTCAGGGTTAACTGAAAGGTTTTGAAAAATCTAAAATTCTTTCAAGGCAAACTTTGAGTTCTTCTTATGTCCCCTACCTAGGCTGTGACGTCATCAATTCAACAGATTATGATCCAAATCTTTAATGACTTCGGACTAGAGGGATGGCGGCTTCCTTTATTTAAGCAGCGAAAATCGACGTTAACGATCATCCATCGATTTAAACCGAAGAGATTTCATTCTAAGCCGGGAGACATAACGTGATCAAACTTTTTGTAAAGGCTACTAGAAAACTGCTGGCATTGATCATGCCGTATAGAACAAATGACTTGTTTACCGGAATTTGCTAGATACTCAGCTTCCTAAGGTAATGAATACCAAGTTATAGAAGGATCGCATATTTCTTGAGAACAAAAATAAAATCTACGTGGGACAAAGAAATATACTTCACTAGCTCTTTTATGACCTGCACCCACCCTTTTCTCTTTAAGAGCTGGGGGCTTAAATACTAGGGAGAAGAACTAGTACACATCTTTAAGTCAGTCATATTTCTCTGTAATAACATATCTCAATGATCATGGAAGGGGAGGAGGGGAGCTTAGTAGAGCAGGGAGGTGGGGGGGGGGGGTTATAAAAAAAATTTAAGTTCCCGACGGGGACTCAGCAAAACGGTGTTCTGATTTAACTTAACTCTAAATATTGAAATATATTTTATCTATGTTTTTCTATTTAATGATTATCTTCAGTTCGTAACATAAATTCAGTCAAAGCGATAATTTTTATATTTTAAATTTAAATTTTACTCCGCGATGCACATTTCTTCATTTTATAACAAAAAACAAACAAATCACGAAGACTGAGACTACTTTTGTTACAGTTTAGTTACATGTCATTGAAAGTTTCACTGTTTTGTTACAAGTTCTCGTGGCACGTGTAAGGGACGGATGGATTAAGTGGTATTTTCATAGTCTACAAAGCCCTTAGCTTTATTTGACATTATCTTCCTTTGGGCTTCTTAAAAGCTCTACTTGAAGTCATCATGGATAGACTCTAATTTTGATTTTGAACAACCTTGCTTTCTGCTAAACGTTTTTATTTTCTGAAATAAGTTTCAAGACGCGACTTGACTCAGCAATTTCCAGCAACAATTGTTTTTTTTTTTGTCTTTTAAGATATATTCTACTGCACTTCAAAAGAATTGTCCAATGCATCCGAAATACATCATACAGCATTTTGGAGGGGATACACATGTCACTAGTGATATGTGTGCGGGGATACACATATCACGGGGATACACATATCACTGTGACACCTGTCCGGCTCTGAAAAAAAAAAAAATCTGATGACGCCATCGGTGCATTCATTCGGGTAGTAGTTGGCTTGTCAATGGTACAGTTTTCTACATTGTATAACTGTTGAATATACTGTTCAAACAGTTTAAAACCAAAACTTACGTTTCAGAAGTTTGTCAAATTGTTTATTATAAGTACATGCTGTGAAGGAAGAAGCTTAAATATTATTCGCCATTTCCACATTCCCCATAATACACGTTGTTTGCCCTCCAAAATTTTGCATAACCTTTGTTTCCCATTTCTGCTGGGTATTACAGTCGTCCCAAGAGAAACTGACGACAATGCTTATGCAAAATTTTTGGGGGGCAAACAAGGTGTATTATGGGCGATGAGGAAATGGCGAACATCTGCTTTCCTTGCCATTAACTGCAAAGCCAACTTTAATAAAAACTTAAATATCAATTGCGAATAAACCCAATTACAAAACTGCGTCAATCCATAAACAAAGTATTGTATTCGTTTCTATTAACTAGAAAGCTAACTTTAGTCCAATTTAGAAATAAACCGCTAACAAACCTAATTACAAAATTACGTCACTGCCGTAGACAATTACTGTATTTTCGCTTTTTTTGCTTGTTTTTGGCGTGCTCTAAGGAGGGACTAACTAGGGATTCACCTTTTGTCTGGAAAGAATATATATTTTAGTCCACCTTGATCACTTACTAAAAATGAAAGGGCAGGTGAACTAACGCCGAGAAATCAAAATAACCAACTTAATCACTGAAGCTCAGGTTTCGAAAGAAACTCCTTTAGAAGCTTTTTGAGGCCGCCTATGGATTCTGTAAAACAGGAGGGAGACCAATGAAATATTTTCTTAAAAAATTTAATACGTGCTAACGACCAAAAGAGAACAAGACTGCATCATCGATATTAGTTTTATGACTCAATAACATTGCGCTCGCTGACGTAAATGTGTCTTTTCTAGCAAAACATTTGTTTTGCTGATTTAACCTTTTTTAAAGCTGGAACAAAGGCTGTGAGAATCAATGGCTATGTTTATTGCATATATTTTCCGCAAAACATATTTCCTTACAAACAATCTTGAAGCACCTTGATATTGAGGCATGGAGCAGCACTTGACAAACAAGTGGCCGCGTCTAGCCACTCGAACGATCACCATACAATTGACGTGTAAGTTTGTTTTCCGGTGTTATACTTTCCTTGTGAACCTTTGTTTCTCAAAGTGGAGTTCAAAAGTTGTGTGTTGGGTTTAGAAACAGGCTGTCCCTGTAATGATGCAACTGAATGATCAGCAGGCTTGACTGAGAACTTTCGCATTAACTTATGTCAGTTTGGCAAAGCTGGGATACAAACAATAATACTGAATTAACGCGTGTTTGATAGGCATGAGTGGGCGGAACACGCTCACTTTCGTAAGCTTTTTTTCTTATCGTCCGGTTATTTGATTTAACTTATTGTCAGATCCTTCTTTGGCGTGGAACATGACCGAACTGTCACTTGCTTGTTCCAGCTTTTTACATCGTCGAGTCCAGAAATACCGAAAAACGTGGCATAATCTTAGCACTAATTTAGACTGATTGGTAAGAATTTTAAGACCACAGACCACAAATCAGTCAATATTGCACCTGCATGTTTGTATTTTGATTCAAGCTTCTGGAAAAGTTGTGGGTTTTTTTTAATTTCTAGAGGTTAATTTAGGGAATTAACGGAGAAATTTTGAACAGTCGGTTTCCATTACTAAGACAACTGCAAATCCTTTCGAATCGGTCCTGAAAACACAGAATATCTTTGCCATAAAGTAGAGGCTGGATGTGATTGGTATTAGGCAAAGAGAGACTGAATTTAAGAACCGTGCCCACGTTTTCAAGTACCTTGTTTAACGGAAAAAAAAAACTGATAACGTAACAAAAGAAATGAAAACTGTTTTCTAACAATACTGAGCCAAACAGCAGACTGACGACTAAATGGCTCAAAATTAATTTTAATTGTGTTAGGCTTAAGCTGACAAACAGCCACTGCTTTACTAACAGCCGACAAGGTCCAAGCCATTATTAGCGACAAAAGATCGAATTGTCACGTAATCCGGCTATCAAATGTTACAAGCTAAGAGAACTAAAATCTTCAGTTGTGGGTTGTCAACCCCGATCATGCAATATCTGCGATATCGATATTAAAGGACCTGCGTTGTTTATTGTCAGGGTTCCATAGTGTATGGATGCTTCGTCCTATCAGACCGATTGATTTAAAATAAGTTGACCGTGAATATCGGTTACATACTCAGTGTAGGCAACGGAACAGTGCCTTCGAGTATGAAGTCAGAAACTAATTATCCACCCAGTCAAATTGCTTCAAAAGGGAAAAGGGCATGCCATTTCCAATTAAATAAACGTCATTAGTTCAGTTTCTTAAAAACCACAGCAAAAATACAAATATGTCATTAGTCTTGATAGAAATATGTGATATTGATGTGTGCTCGTGATGACCACATGACGTCTCCGATTATTGGACTTTGGCCATGGATGTCAAACCAAAGGGAATCACGCAAAGCTGACCACGCAGAACCAGTTGAAAGGAATAAGTATGTACACTTAGCGTAAGAGGCAAACATGGAAAAGATCATTGTCTTCTTGACAGGATGGCCCAAACAATAGAAAAACCCTCCATGACGATAAAAGCTCAAAGTCATTCACATTTTCTTTCTTTTCATGGCGCTATTAACGACTTGTTACATAATCCAAAAAATTATTTTTGTATTCAAACAAGAAATATATATAATTTGTATTAAGGGGTGTATTCCATTAGATTACACTCAATATTTAACTACATGTGTTTTTTTCTTGTCATTTTGTGAAGGACTCGTCTTAAACACGCTTCCACGTCAGTTAGTATTGTTTTAGAAACTGGCTTAAGACGCCGGTTCATAATCTTTCAATTTTGTTTCGGCTTTAATCACCCCTTAAACTGTTCATCGTTTGTGTAAAAGGAATCAAATAATAGATTAAGTAGCACACTGTGTGAGATATTTTCAGTTGCAAGATTGCGTGTCTTTTTGTTCGTTTCGGAACTAATAAAACAACTGATTGTTTTATTTTCGTCGGTTTGACCTCATTGGCGAAAATATTCCAGCACTGAATACGCGACCTTTTGTGACGTGATTAGCGCCTCGATTCTCTTGATTAACAATTGCCTTTTGATAATTAAATAGCTCGTTACCGAGCAAATGGTGACCTCAATAGATAATAAATTACCTTCAATTTAGTTCCTCTTTGTTACTGACTGTATATATAAGTCTCAGTAACCCATGAGTTAAAGCCAGTTCGTTCGTGTTAGCAAGAGGTGAGCCTTCTTTTTACAAAATATACCGGAGGAGTATCCGCCTTTCCCGATACCATGACTTCAGCATTTGTCAAGTTTGCAGTCCTTGTCTACACAGGTGAGAAGCTTACCATTGATTATTGGTCTCCGACTGATTTGTTTTGGAAATGTCGGAGATAAGAGATATTTTCCTGTGACAAATTTAGTCAGAAATTAGTTTGTCCTTAGTTGAACTGCAGAATGATAACGGTAGTTAAGCTTTCAACCCCGTAACTTATAATTAGAGCTTTAAAACACAAGATAGATTTACTTAGGGTCATTAGTACGTTCAAAGCGCCAGTAAATTCACGAGTCGTATTTTAATATCGATTGAGACAGACCACCGGGATTCAGAAACAGTGTGCAACATCAGGGCGTTTAATTGAAAGAGTAGAAAAACAATCACAAGCAAGAAAATATGTGGTCCAGGGTTATTCTAAACGACATTTAGTGCAAAGAAGGCACCAGGCATTCAAGAATTGTTAATCACATTCAGCGTTAACAAGCTTTTAATTTTTTAAACACTGAATTAATTTGCGCCGATTGGAAATCGCACCTTTTAAGAAGAAGTAATATATGTGGACAGTTTTTTAAAAAATCTGATCAAAAAAGAAAGCACAAAGAAGGTAAACAACTCAGCTATCATGGTCACTGCTCACGTGGCTTAACTTAGATTTACATTGACTCGGATCAATATCATACAACACAAGTCAGATGTGAAATATTGATTAGCTTTGCATCTTGTAACATTTTGACCGTTTCACTGTTGTATAAAAAGTAGATTAAGTGTCTCTCGTCTTTTCTGATGCCGTTTAAAGTTTGGTTTTGAAAGTTTTCGAGTTTCTACAGGAAACTTTGAGTTCCTTCTCAGCTGTGATGTGCCAAGTCAAGATCCTAAACAACCTCTTTACGAAATATTTCCAGACCCATCGATTCGGCGCTGTCTCAAAAAGCTTACATCATAAGGTCAAATTGAGTATAAATAAGTATTACGTTACTCACTAGTTAGTCTGAAATGACCCGTTTGGTGTATTTTGTTTATCTACTCTGTGTCGCGTGTACAAAGATATTTCATACACATCAGTTTCGTGACTGCGTAGAGTTCGCGAGAAGATAAATCTGCATAAAATAAGGAAGCACAACTATATTGACTTACTCTGTAGTGTTTGTTTAGCCGGTTTGGTTTAGTTTGAAGAGATTAAGAACATGATGCAATATATTCGAAAGGAAGTTTTACTGAAGCCGCGAAATTGATCATCGTCAACTAAACACTGGCTTCATGGCGATGCTTCGAGTTCTTTCCCTTCAATTTGCTCGGTTTTTGTTTGTTTTTTGCTCTCATCGTCTTCCTTTGTTGCTCTTTCTCCATTTTGGACTTGGTCGCCGTATAATAGTGCCCAAATCACTTTGCAATATTCTCTGGAGAGATGGAAACCTCAGTCAAAACTTGGTTGAGTACAAGAATTGACGGAGAGATGTAATTACTCATTAAACAGCGCCAATAGTGAGGATTAAAACAAATTACAACGAACCTCATAGGGTCTCATAGTTCAGGGATTTCAACCTTATCATGTAAACGTGACTTAAAACACACTTCAGCACGTTTTTACTGGACGACGAGAAAAACGTTTCAATGCCTGACAATCTCGACAAACTTTTTGCAAAGATAAACGTTAAAATGCAAGCCTTGAATTTCTATTTTCCTGGCCGGTTTTCTGTTTTTGCAAATCTGCTGAGGTTTAGAGTTGAACAACAACAAAACAACAACAACGCTTATACGCCCACGATCAAACACGTGTTATCACCACTCTCTTTCAAACTTTCACGTGTTTTTTTGTCAATTTTTCCTCTCTACTACTTCGACCTTGACCTATCAAATGAACAAATTCATGGGTGCTCGTATCCTGAGCCATTATTCAAGTTCGGCTCGGCCATCAAACCATTCTTCCATTAACGAAATGAACGACTCATTAACCGATTAATTATCTGGAACAGCACGCAAACCTCACGATCCGGAGCAGAACGGAATCACGAAAGTACGTTGGTCCAAATCAATTTTTCTTGTACTATACTGTACTGAAGCAAAACGAGCTTCTTACAAGACTTTTTCAAGTTAACAAGAGTACCAATAAATACTGATGTAGATTTAATATATTTGTCTCACGTGCACTTCCAAATTCTTAAAAAATATCATCGCATTTACGCTGAGCGAAGTTATCCGTTACGGTAGTTTTGACCGAGCTGTAAGGAAGGAAAAAATTACTTCGAAGTCTAAGGATTTGGCAACTAAATTTCGAACTTTCATTGCTTGTGGTGATATATACTGATAAAATACTATTAGCCCCAGGCTTATGCATATGTTTGCACAAAAAGACCTATACCAGACTGTGAGCATAGTTTGGCTAAGAGAGCTTACTGGAATGTATTTGCCTTCAGAGGTTACAATGATGGCTTTTAGTGTAGTACTTGAAACAAAACGTTTTAATCGTTAAACAACAGAGAGACTACGGAACCACTTGTGGAGAGACAAACAAAGCACTTGTTCATGCGTTTTAATTTATGCAAGCGTAAACAAGAAGGTTAGACTCCTGTTGGTGTTGTTGCAGTCCTTCATACCCTAGATGTGAGCCGTTTTTAAATTTTTCTTTGTCTTTTTGCAACATACAGTCACTGTAAAGACAAATTTACTCTTGGAACGAGTGCGCTTCCAATTCAACCCCCGGCTCTGAGGACTTTTTGGCTTCCGCCCAATGTTAGCCGATATTGCGTTTCGTTGCGTCGGCTCGTTATGTATTCAGTTGAACTAAGTTGATAAATTAATCGCATGGTAGAAAAGTATCAATGGTAAATCCGCGACTTTTCGAGAGAGCGCTTACTGCGTGTGTACGAGCGTGGAACCTTCTAGCCTGAAATGGCAGTTATCTCCCGTCTCAGCATTACCCCTGGGGTAATGGCGTGGGCGGGACAACTGACTTTTCCGATCGGAACTTTCTTAGCCTTGCAGAAGAATTGAGACTCCGAGCGGGCGTTTACAATAGAGGGTGACAAAATGCAAAGAACCATTTCTAACTTCATTCGTTCGTCACTTGATAATCATATTGTATTTTTCATGGGTCCCACCTGAGCTAGATTAATATTACTGAGCCTCAAGTGGCTTCAAGTGTACCTTACGCATTTGTGTCCGGGAAAGATGAAAAAAGGCTGTCTTTATAATCTTTATATTTCATACATTACAGGATGTATAATCAGGTCTTCATCGGCCACCAGTCATCAGCTACAAGCCGTTTTCAGCATGAGTGGAATAAAGGGTGACGTCGTCTTTTCCCAACCACACGGACATAATGCCACAAGCATCATGGTCAACCTAACTGGCGTCAACGAGACTCTGACATGGAGCATTCAACAACTACCCATGATATATTATGGCAATGCAGACATGAGCTGTACCGCAGGCGCAGTAGGAGGACTTTTTGACCCCATGATGGCTATGAAATCTAGAAACTACAACGGTACGTGCAGTCTGTCAAATGACACCAGGTTCGACGCATGCGCTATCGGAGACTTGACAGGTAAGCTGGGAAGCCTGGACGCCAACACAGCACAGCAAAATTATTCAAACCAGAACTTGATGATTCCAATAATGGGCCCTTACAGCATCATGGGTAGGACGCTAGTACTGTACAGTAATAACACACCCAAGGCATGCGCTCTGATTACTCCGACCCAATCCATGTTGACAGCCGTAGCGTATTTCAAGGCCCCAGTGGCGGGATCCGTTTACTTGAGACAAGTTGAAGAGCACTCAGACACCACTGTCTTTGCTAATCTTTTCTACGTCAACGATGCAGAAACACAAAAACAGTTTCATTGGCAGATTCAAGCATCAGCTTCTTGCCATAACCTTAGTGCTATTTTCAATCCTGATAACACTGATGGGAAAAACTGTAGCCAGAAACGGCACGAAAATTGTTCTATCGGTGATTTGACCTCCAAACACGGAAATGTCACCGTCTCTATGGCGACGAAAAGCGAATCCAAAACTAAAGCTGCCTTTACTGACACCAACTTGCCACTGAGCGGTGATAATAGTGTTATCGGTAAGGCAATAGTCTTGTTCTCAACGGACGACCCACAGACACCTTTTGCCTGCGCCAAGATCATGAAAGTGAAGCCAAGGGTTCTCCAAGCTTCATTCAAGCCAGATGTCCATGATGGCGTAAGTGGGGGTTTCAAGATTACCCAGGCGTCCCCGTTCGATCCCTCCATAACAGAAATAGATGTGACTGGGTTAAGAAAGGAATCCCAAGGATACCATGTCCACAACTATCCCATGCCGTGGCAGATGCAATACACAGGAATGGAATCTTGTGCTGGAGGCAATCTAGGAGGACATTGGAATCCTTTTGGCGTGGACGTTAGATCCAGTCCTGCCCCAGGAACTGGTAAGTTGTGGAAGAATTTCATGCTTGCACAATCTGTAACCTTTATTACATCATTGTGTCCGCCTAGAAAATATCTAAATGAATTGAAAGGTTATCTGTAAATTCAACAGTGTTTGAGATCCCCGTTTGTTATGATTTCTTTTTATAACCGTGATGAGAGCTAAGGACTGTTTTAGCCGTAAGTTGTAATCACATAATAGTGTCACTTTCCATTGGATGGTTTAATAATTGATACATGTGCTCTTTTCACGCCTCGTTTTTTTATCTGACCCAAACCTAACGTGAGCTGATTTTCCTCTAAAGAAACTTTAACAAATTATATAACTATCCAACTAGTCAAGTGTCAAATAATCGATTGATTCGGCCAAGAGAAATTTAGCAAACCTTGTTTTCTTAGGAACCGATGATGAATACGAAGTCGGTGACCTGAGTGGAAAATATGGAACCTTTCTAAACCTCTCAAGTTACAGAGGGGTACACGTAGACTACAATCTTCCGTTATTTGGCAAAAATAGCATCCAGGGTCGATCAATTGTCATCCACAAGATGAAGGTGATGGGAAGTGCGAGATGGGTGTGTGCAGATGTTTTCCAGGTGGCGGACGGGGACAATATGTTTGTTATGAAAACCATGATAAAGTTCACAGGACCAGCTCTAAAGGGTTATGTACTCTTGGTAAGTTATTTTCAGTATACAGCCGAACCTCTCCATAGAGCCCTTGGACTGTTCGCTCTGCCCCAGAGAGCCCATATTTCGTTAAATCTCTCTTCCCTCTGATACAGACAACTGCGGTATTTTGTTATAACCATAACAGGAGGGTTGTATACTCTTGGCAAGTTTCTTTTTTTAGTACAGCCGAACCTCTCCTTATGGACGGACACCCCTTCATAACCGTGGGCAGTTCACTTTGCCCCAGGGAAACCATTTTTCGTTAAATCTCTATTCCCTAAGAAGGCCAACTGCGGTCGTTTTTCAGCTGTCAGTCAAATCAAGTCAGACCTCCCAGTTGACTTATATTATAAACAACTCTGCTTCAACCTACAGGTTCAGTACAAGTCCAATGATATGATGATGACGTCAGAGGAAACTTCTATCTACGTTGATCTCTATTACGCTTCCAACTCCAGCAAAAAGGTAACATCCGATACAAACAACTCTTCCACGGATTTCAATTGATTCAGCGTCTATGATTACCTATTTTCCCTTTCAAAAGACGTTATATCCTATACCGCTATTTCAAACATTCAGTTGGCCCCATTAATAATACATTTAGAGCAATTTTCAATCGAAAAGCAAAATCAGAAAAGCAGAATCGCACTAATTGTTTTACTTGTGTCGTAATCAGAGTATGGATCACAAGTGGCACGTACATGTCAACCCTGAAGGAAATGACACTTACGCTGAGATGGGTCAGAGATGTAAGAGTCTAGGAGGACATTACAACCCTTATCTGGTCGATTTAGCCGTAAGTATCATGGCGCTAGGGCGTCAATTTATACGAAAGAAGAGTTATTTTAAGCCAAAATTTGTGTATGGAGCTGCCCCTAATTCTCCGCGGGAAGAACGATGGCGGTACGCTACGAACCTAACACAGCCTATTAGGCACAAAGAAAGCCATACTTTGGCAGTATTTGACCCTGTGCTTATGACACTGTTTATAGGTTCGAGATTTTTTCGAACTTTTCTATTCATTTTTGTGAGCGCTGTATGGTTAATGTTCCAGTCGACATCGATTTTCCTACGGAGGATAGAGTTGTTATCCTTTGACTGTTGCAACGTTTAACGGCATTAGGTCGATAATATACGGTACTTGTGTTTGTGCTGGAACAAAGATCACTGAGTGGTTTTATTTATTTATTTCCTCCGTTTTTTTCACCCAGGGAACTTACAAGTCCACCTGCATTTCCAGAAATATGCTAAGATGCGAAGTCGGTGATTTATCTGGCAAGCATGCCATGTTAAACGTTGGATCAGGAAAGGAGTTCTACACCGATCCTGATCTTCCCTTATATGGAGAAATGTCAGGTAAGAAACAATGTAAGAATTTTTATAACCTTTTACTGATTTTCTTTTAAGATGTGTCAACTTGATTGATCAGCCTGGAATTTGTAAAGGCCAGATATGGCATGTAACCAGTCAGGAAGCAGAATTAGAACTAAGTAGCAAAAATGATCGAATCACAAGACTAGACCACTCGGTTTCAATCCTTTACTCTTGTTTGATAGGAAAAGTTAACACCATTTTAATTTAAAGACGTTACGGGTGTTAGATCGTCCATAAAGGAAAAAACACACATCTGTTCCCTGACGACCGATTGCTTTCACATGATTGGACCCTATCAAGGTCTTCACTGACGAAACATGTGTGGTTGCTTCAGAGAAATAAAAATGCACTTCATAAGACAGCATGAGTTGTCTAAGTTTTTCTGAAGTTGTGATTCTTAGCTTTGAAATGGTAGTAATACACCGTGACTATTTACCTGTTAATTCACGTTTATGATGACTGAGAGTAATCTTTTGAATTTAATGTTTCTTTCAGTTGTTGGACGAGGAGTTGTAGTGCATGCAGAGAACGGCGGTGGGTCTCGTCTTGGCTGTGCTACCATCAAACCAGTGGCTTCTTTATATGTAGAGAAAACACTGCAACATGTTGAGGCAGCTACATTTTCCAAGTAAGTTGAAGCCAGCAGAGGGTTCAATTATGACATTTGACAGTTGAACAAAAATTAAACAGCCAATCAATCAAGCAGGCAAGCTAGCAAGTTTGCAACTAATACTTTAATCAGTCAATCAACCGATCAAACAGTAAGTAAGTAAGTCAGTCCGTCTGTCAATCAGTCAATCAATCAATCAATCAATCAATCAATCAATCAATCAATCAATCGTTTGCTTGCTCGACAACACTGCGAGGGTCTGTAATAGCAGTTTCAATATTGTATGGCAAAATGGCCCACGGCGAAAAGGAGAATTCTGAGAGCGACCTGAAAGAGGCAAGAATGTTTACCCTTTCAACCGAGAGTGGATGCATTAATTCTTCAGCAAGTTTTAAAGAGCCATTACAATAAACTCTTTATGAACCTGGCTTGTTCGGTTCGTATCGAGGAATGTAGGTCTCGTTCAATATGCCCACAATACGAACTAAACAAACTTGCCCAATATAGATATCTGGGGACAAGCCTTTAAGGTAGTTATAACTGGAAAAGAAATTTTCTTTGTTCGTTCAAAAACTACCGAGTACTGTTAACTAACTGTCACCTTCTATTCCTTTTGCAGAATGAATTTCGCAAAAACGGTTTCTGCTGCTCTTAATATCCCGGACTGGCGGTTGTTTTACATTCGAACACAGGACAGTGGCGTTGCAGGCTGTAAGACAGTCAAATTTGGAATTATTGGAAATGGTAAGTACAGTACATTCACTACATTAGGTGTTTTCGTTATGTCAGAGAGAGGTTGTATTTTTTCTTCATGGCAAATTACAATAATACATGATCACTTTTTGTACAGACTGCACTATTTTATTATTATTGATTTTATTTTCTCGTTTACGTCTTCAAACGGTCTCGAATTAACTGAAATCAGTTATTCATCTGTGCCCAAAGTCGTGCGGTTGGTCGAATTTTCCTACATACTTTTTTTTATGGCATTTAGTGGAAATGCTGTCGGTAGACCAACTTACTTCAAATTTCCCGGTCTTTTCTCCATATGATCGTCCTAATTCTAATAAGCAAATTTTGATCGTTAATCAAAACAGTTTTTCCTTTCCCTTGTATTAGCGATCACTGAGTCCTTGTGACTGATCATGAAGTGTTGAGCTAACGTTTATGAAAAGCTTTTCAGAAGTTCTAGCTCTTAATATCAGAAGGTTGAAAGATATAATAACGTCCTTGTTCTTGGTTTTATCGCAGAAAGACAAGCCAGTGAACCCTCCCAAGCATTCGACCTCATCTTGCAACGTACGCCGGGAAAATTAAAGGAGTTTCAGCCAAGAAGCAAATGTCGCGTTCCTTCTTCACCTAAAGGTAAGAAGAAAATGCTGGTGTGTGGTATGAGCACCTAAAGGCCTAATTAAACATATCAACAGAGGCTCTGATGATGATAAAATTGAGCTGTCATAATCTAATTGAACACTGTTGCAAAATTTGAAGAATATGAGTATCGCTTATCCCATTTTCAACATGACAAGTTAATTTACTTCTCAGGCATTTGTCCGGTTTCCGGATCGGAACAGAACAGAGCAGCACCCATCTCTAAACCTTTGTAGAGATAGACTATGAACAAGGGACCTCGGCAGCTAATTATATTTCCAAGCAGTACATGACCATAGATATTGACCGTAGCTTATACTTCATTCTTTTCAGCACCAACGAGAGTCAGAGGTGGTAGCGCAGGAATCAATCACGTGAACATATACGTCATTCTTAACATGGTTTTACTTACTACATATGCGTATCTGGAATAAACAGTTCAACATAGCGCCGATATGTCACTCTGTCAGACAGTCAAGAGGAAGGAAACGAACAGTCATTGTCATCAGACTTCCACTTGCTGTAGCAATATGCATATGTCATAACAAGATAACACGATGGACTCGAGTAAAGCTGACGTGCATGTATGGACACAAATGTGTATAAAGTGCTCGGAGAGCGTAAACTTACCAGCCATCTTAGGGAGTTTTAAATGGCCAAGCACCAATCCCTCTCTTCCCGTCTCCAAATTTAAGCTTAATACGGCCGGGAACGTGTCAAAAGCGTCGAAAAGATAGATGTTTATAATGTTACCAATAAAAACTTTTGGCAAAACAATATCTAAATCTTAACTTTCTTTTGCAAAGGGCTTTTGTCACGATAATGCACATGTACGGCACTTAACTAGGGAATAAAGGGTCTACGGGACGGAATTTATTGTCCTGCCCTTGACCCTTTCTAAGGAAATAGCCACTTCTACTGTCCGTGAGGACATCAACGTATTTGACGATCTTCTGTCAATATCGTAGTAAAATTGGACGTCCTCAACATGTTATAAAAACCAATCACTCACGACAAGTAATTTTTAAATATAATAGTGTTGTTATAACTTAGTAACTTTGACAATTGGACAGCCGCACATGCGCAGAAGAGTGCAACAGCCCTTTAAGTAGATTCCCCGTAAACGCGCACACCGTTTCTCCCTCTATCGCCAACAACACCACAGATGAACGAACTTCTCCACTCCAACAAGGAAGTAAAACGAGATCCAGAATGTAGTAAGTTATCTTGAGATGTAGAAAGTCCAAGTTAAGACTCTTCAGAGAACTTCGAATGATATTTATCCATTTATATATTTTGTAGCCTTTTAATGAGCTAGCCTTAAGAGAATTAGGCATTTTTGTGAAGGAACTGCGAAAAACATGCAATTTGAATTAATGGGAGTGGCTCATGATCAACACGTATGCTTAATTAGTCTGAACAATTTAGTGATAGGAAACAAGATATCAAATCTTGCAAATCTTATTATTCAATCATGTTTACATGTAACTCAATAATACCTCAATAAATAATGTACAAAATCGAGGGCTAACGAATTTAAATTAAATCCATGAGCCCCCAAATCAGTACCAAGCTTAAATACCTAGACACATTCAACACGTACGGGACGTGCTTTGTAAAGTAAAGATTTAGCATAAGCTAAGTTTGTACTAGTTATTTTGTTCAACTTAACACACCGAATATGATGTCTGAAGCTATCAGACGAAACTGGTGGGAGAAATAAATGTCAGGTAGTCATTAAGATCTGTAGTTTGCTGTGTGTTGAATCATCACCAGAGAATCTTAAGAATTTCTTGTTGACCCTTTTATAGCAAAGAACAAATACAATTAAATACCAGACACTTATTTTTTTGAAATTTCTGTGACATCTAATTTTGTCTTCATACTGACGTAGATATAACGAACACCTTACAAAGCGAACTGGAACACACAACTGCGTGACTGCTTCTCGTGCATAATACGTGTCAGACGGATAGTGCATTTGAGTCGTCTGGGTAAATATATACCGAAAATAAGACGTTATAAACTTCAGAAGTAAGCTTGCCTGTTAGTTACTCGGGTTTTGTAGGAAAGAACGAGTTATTAAATGCAAGGCGTTCTTGTTCGCCAAAAGGGGGGTCATGGTCCTAGGCGTTCCATGCGTAGAGAGTGGAAACTGGGGACGAGATACGACAGCTTGCTTTATGGTGTGATCGCACTTCTTACCACGAAAACGGTGGCAACAAGAAGCTATTTCTCAGAAAGAAATGGTGTTTCGTTTCCGGAAAGGTATTCAAAGTCTGAGAAAGGCCGGGGTTTTGATATCTTGTGCATGAGAAGTACCGCACTGATCTGCTCAGTTGTCAGAACCTGGGGGTTTTCCGCCAGGTGAGGTTTAGTACTGAACCTATTGTAAAAGAGAAAGGGCCAATAAATTTAAGTTGTCTACACATGTATCAGTTGTTACAGTCAACGCGCTTCGAAATGTATTTACTTGTGATGTATTTACTTGGGAGGGGAGATGCTCCCTTATATCGGCTAAATAGGTACGTCCAGCGTCAGAGGGACATGTTTTTTTAAGACATTTTAGTCAGAAGTAGAGTATCGATTTTGGTCATTTTGGTCTCAAGAAGAAGCTACTTTTTTCATCATTATCGATAAGACCAGCAACTAAAACCATTCACATTACCTTTAACATCATTCTGAACTAGAGAAGTACGGTAGGTCTGAAACAGGGTATTAATTTAAGGGTCAGGCCATAAATAGGTTAGAAAAATCGCAGACTTTGGTCTTAAATAGGGTAAGTGCTTTGGCAAGCGGGCCGCACAGCCCCGCCAAATTTTTCAGAAATTCAAAGTATTGTGTGGGAGGCTAAATAAAGCTAAGAGGCAAAAGCATTTGACGCATAATTTTTCCATTTCTGTACCGGGCAGTCCTTGATTCAAATGGATGCGGCACTCTACGTTTCGTTGTCAGAGACGCAGCATATTTTTATTTTCAAAAAGGACGCCTCATGTGTAACGACAGTTGTGCAATTATTCCTCCACTTTCGCTTGAATATTATGGAGCTAAAATAAAAATGCTATCGGCATTTTCATGGAAACCAGCTCTTGAAATACCGCGGTATGTCGAAATACAAATTTTCACATTTTTAAAAGCGCGCTCTAAGAAGTAAACCTACTGGAATTGTGGCGGAAAATTCGAGAAATTCAACTAAATCTGGAAAATGTCGACACCTACGATATGAAGAAAACCTCATAAAAAAGCCATATTGTGCCTATTTTGCAATATACCAACGTTGATTAAATTACAATATGATGAATTAGTTACCTTCCACAATATATCGTATCTGTAGTATCGTCCACCTTTCCCGTAAACAGCCACGGAAAAGGGGCGGGATTGTTATTCCTGACAAGTGTTCTGATTGACCAAAATTATGTCGCCGTAGTTGTGATCTTAATCACATTTAAATCAAGCACGGAAACAGATATCTTCGTTTCTTTAGAATACATCGTTTTAGTAAGACTCAGGAGCATTTAAGTCGCCAATTATTNTTATTTCTACCTGCATGACATTTTAATTTCCTTTTCTTTCCGTGTCACGAAATAAAATTTAGTTTCGAGAAGTTGTTTTTGCTGAACATGTTTACCTTGTGAATTACATGCGTTTACCCTGATAACATTCATACTCACCGAATCACTCTGAAACGGAAAACAGTACCATTTCTTTGTTGAACTAAACAAAGCTAACTGCTTCCATCGCATTGGTGGACAAATCGCGTGGTGTGGCGGTGTCTCTACTTCGAAAAGATATTTCTTTTTCACTATCACTATCAAGTCCAGTTCGCAGTTTTCTTGTGTAAGATAATACCGAGAAACGAGAGTTTCACTGAAATGTTGCAAATGACA